GGCACCAGAGCCCGCAGTAAACCAGAGGGGAAACCTTCCGCGGCCAGCTTCGAGCGCTGCTCCGAAACGCTGTTCTGCACAGCCCTTCCTCCCTCTCCCGTTGCCGTTTCACGCTCCGTTATGCTTGTCAAAATCTCCAGTCTGGTATTTGTACTCAAAGCTCTGGCTCTGCTCTCGCTACAGACAAAACTTCGCTACCCAGAACTTTTCTTAAGCTTATATAGAATACTAAGCATGGGCTTAAGAAAGGCTCCTGGTTATCTCCATGGTTTTAGGACAAATCATTAGGGGGACTAGTGATGGGGACAGTTGCCCTCTGACAGCAGCTCAGAGCAGGCTGAGGAGCAGGTTGCAGGAGCGGGCCCCAGTGCTGGCTACATCTGCTGTGGGTGAAGTGGTGCTCCCTACAGGGTGCTGCTCAGGTACCCCCTTTACAGCTGCAGTGGCTCCAAACAGCTTCTAACGGGAGCCTTCAAGCAAAACAGGAAGAGAAAAGCTTTGCTGCTGCTCTCCTCTACTAAGGCACATGATTTGTGTAGATGGAAGTCACACTAAATAAATACAGATTATTTGTACTTGGTGAAGTAGCTAAAATGAAATCTCTCTTAACCAGAGCTCTCCAGTGGTCTACAGTACTTCTCGGGATTCATACTTGTAAATAACTGGAAAAACAAACTATACAAAAATAAACCAAAAGATCTACCTCCTGATGACAGATCACTCTTACTTAGATATCCCAGAGTGCCTCTTATGCTGGATATGTGTAAGCTGTGGATTTGATGTGCAGCTAATTAGCTGTGCATTTGGCCAGCCAAGAGCGTGTGTGTGCATGGGTGCATGCATACACAGGGATTTGAGAGCGTGCTCTGAAATGTGGGAAAATGAAGGGAGCTTGCTTTCATTCACTCCTTCGCTCCCAGGCAGGAAGTCAGGCTTTTAGATTATTGTGTATTTCTGCAATAACTCAGTAGTAATAATAAACTAAATCAATCTGATATGTCTGTGTTTTTTACAGCACCTAATAAATATTCCCACCTAAGTCTCTCACAATTTAATTTTTTTTCTGAAAGCTGCAGGACAAGAGAAAAAAGCACTCTTATGTTTTCAGTGACCTCTAAGAATCTCTAATATTTTGGGAAGGGTCTGCTTGAAACAGTGATTTATATTAGAGATAATGTGCATTTGATTTGCCCTAGGAGCAGGAAATCCTTTTTAAAGTGCAGCTCCTAGAGGCTGTCTGACTTAAAGAGCATGAATAGCTTCTTCTGGTATGCAAAGAATTACTTATATGTCTATAAAGTATGACTTGGTACCATGTTGAATCAGGATCTTACTTTCCTAGGAAGCAATTTTAGCCAAGAGCATTTTATTTCATAGAAGGCATACTTACGTGAATACTTCCATCCCCCATCCTGCAATAGCTGTGAAGAGCCTTGGGCCGAGATCCCTGGCCGGGTTCATGGCACAGCCACTGTTCATTCCCAAGGAGCAAGTAAGAACAATCACAAGAAGTCCTACTGCAATTGGCTCCAGGCCCTTTGGGACGCTGTTATTTCTGGTGTCAAAAATAGCCAATATAACCAGAAGAAGAACAGCTGTTGACATCACCTGGCCAATACAAAGAAAAGAATATTGACTAAATATGTGCAGATTCCTTCCAGTCTGAAAAGAGAGGCTATGGCAGCTCTGTGGCTTGTGGTGGCTTAGAGCTGGTATTTAGATTTATCCCACTAGACAGAGTAGCAAAATTTGGAACCCAGTGTGTCTCTGCTTCACAGTAATGAGAAGTTTTGGTATCTGTGCTCAAAGGAAAAGACAAGAAATGTGCTGAGGACATTTGGAAAAAAAAAAAAAAATCTGCAACAAGCTGGTGTGGAAAAAAGAGAGGATTTAAAAGGCATCTCCTGTGTGAGGTCTGATGCTTTGTTTCCACATTTTTTCCTATCAGTTTAACAGTTCCATTTAGTTGATTTTTGGTAGTTCTGCTATGCCAATGCAATTGGTTACATTGATATAAAAGTGTTTTATGTGACTGTAGCTTACACTGATAAATTAGACTAGATATGCACCTCTTTATCCAGGTATTGCATAATGTAAGAAAAAAACAAAGTCTACAAAGTCAAAACTGAGCAGCTAAAAAATTAGGAATTGCCTAAATTAAGGTTGCAAGTGTAGTGGTAACGTGAACTCTGTATTGCATGTGCTAACGGAGCTGATGAAAGAAAATTTCTTGGAATTGCTTTGATCGAAGTGCTACTCTGCTTAAACGCTTTGTAAATGTTGATTTTGCTAATAATTAACTTAGGGGAAAAAGACAAATTTTTCAGTGATATTAAAATATTCAATTTCTATACTGATTTAAAGAAGTTTAATGGGGTTTTAAAAAACTGTTTTTATTTCATCTGTTTTAAATTTTGTTCTAAAACGTCCATGGGTAAAATGATCTTATGGAAAAGTCTGTTGACAGATCCAAAGATCAGAATTGTCTTTCTTTCAAAATTTCAAATGAATGTTTGGAGCTTTTTAAAGCTAGATTTCACAACCTTCATGTTCCTTTATGAAAGGAATTCCCGAGCTCCAGCATTCCATAGTTTTTAATAGCTGACTTACACAGTATTTATTTCATGCATGCCTGAAGAAGACAGGTAAATTGATTAGAAGTAGATAGAAGATATGAAACTTCATTTTTCACTGTTGGATAAGTAGGATTGGAGGATACAGACTGGAAATGAAGTGGAGATTTTTTCAGATTCAGTCATTTGACAAATAACAAAGAATACACTTCTATTTGCAAAGAGAAATTTGACAAGGAGGCTTACGGTAGCAGAAAACTCAGTTGTTTGAGGTGTGTTAAACTGGCTGCTTAAGCGTTACTGAAGGAATAGTAGGTCCACAATGCAGGCTGGGTTTTGATGTAAATGCACATAGCTCTGCTGAAGCGGATGGAGAAACATGGATTTATGCTGGGAAAACCTCTTACCTCTATTGCATTAAAGACATTTAGAGTGCAACTATTAATATGATGTATGTCAAAAGAACAGCTTGAAATTATCTTGCATGTAAAATCCGACTAAAATGTAATCCCCGTAAAGAGCATTGCATTCTCATTGCCATCATACACAGTGATGGATGACCAGAACAGTGTGACTCATCGTACCTGTTAGAGATCCATGTGTTTTGTTACTGCTTGGTTTTACAGCTTTCAGTACGTTTAATTTGTAGAATCAAGACAGCAAGTGCACTCACCTGATCTGCAAATCCATTTAAGAGGGACAGGTAGGGAGCTGGATATGTTGCAAAGATATGTGCTGTTGCGTTAGGTCCTGTGACTTCAAGTCTTCCGTTGCTGTACTCCATGAAGGCATCTATAGAAACCAGCCGTTACGTGGTTGCTCTGCTCCATGAACCCTAGGTTTTCGAGGACTAGAATCCACGTGACAGGTCTGTGCACTTCACATTCCCAAGTGAAACGGATCATTTTTTCTGAGACCGTAATTAATGGATTTGAGGTGATGTGCTAATCACAGGCTCCTGTCTCATCTCTCCTTCTGTGCCTCGAATCACTTGTTTGATGTATCCCAGCTTTCAAAATGGGGCAGGTTTTTCCCCTGCTCATTGCTCCAAACTCAGTGCCAGGGAGAATTTTCTGATTATGAACACAGTTGCATTATTCTGTAAGAGGTGCTATAGTTGACATGATGTCCCAAAAAATACGTAAGCATCCTGACTGTATAATTGTGGATTCCCAGCCGCCAGGAATTACTGCTGCTCCACTTGACAGTTGTGCAATGACTTTTGGGAACGGACTCTCCCGAGAGACCTCCTCTTCTAAAGGAGTTTGCGTTGTTCACTCTGTGTGGGCTTGACGCCCAACTGCTATGCTAATCCTCCAAGATGTCAGGGGAGAGGCTAGCCCCAAAACTTCAGTTCTTAGTAGATTTAAGTTAGCGTATTTTATATATATATTGTAAATATTTATGTGTATTGTAAATATGTGTATATTTATGTTCGTATATTTCAAGCATATTTTAAATAGTTAAATATACTTCTATGTGGGAATAATTTGCTGCCTTGGCAAGCCCTGAAATGTTAGAAATAGGGAAGCACTAAGATGAAGCACTCAAAAATCTGCATGGACAGACATCAATAACGAACGCCATGCTTTTATTTCACTGGTGGATCCAGTGAGGAGGTGATATTCGTGAGTAAAGAAACAGCTCCCCATCTTCTGTGGAAGTCATGGTGAGGATGGTTAGCTTCCCCTAAAGCTAGCAGACAAATCTGTTTCTCCTTGCCCCTGTTTTTTCTAGCTTTATGTAAGGCCACAACATGGGTGCAGAGAATATTTAGTTGTTTACTTTGATCAGGTTCTCTCATGTGCAGTGTCAGATTATTTTGTTGCATTTAAGTATGAGGGGAAAAAAAGGATACAGAAAAGAAATTTTTTCAGCTGGGAATTATTTTGTACATCTTTAGAAAGGCCTCATATTCTGCAGCCTGGCATATATATTCCCTCGCTCTTTCAGGGACATTGCTGAAAATTAAAGCACCTAGCTCAGATATGTGTGTATGGGGAAGATGTTGAGCTCCTACGTCAGGGAGTTGTCTGTGGACCTCAATAAGTACACAACATTCCTGCAAGTTGCAGGAAGGAAAAAGAATAGAGGAGGTTTAGGAATTAATAAGAACAAGAGGAGGGCAAAGTACGTGAGCAGAGATAGGGGTATGAGAAAATCCTGCACTCCTGAATAACAGGAAGAAGTCTCTAACCCTAGCCCTAGGTTCCCTATCTCGGCTGTTTGTCCTACTGCTACCGAACACAGTGAATCCTCCCCCAGCCCCATGTGCACGTTGACCTACTGCCGCATCCTGGCCACAGCCCTAATCCTGGCTGTCTGGACTGAGGAGGACTTAGATTCAGATGGAAATCCTGTTCTGGAATCCCACAGTTTCCAAATTCTAACACTAACCTTAAAACAACCAACCAACCCCTCCACCCACTCCCCCACCCCAAAACCCAAACAACCAAAAAACTCCCACCAAACCCAAAAGAGCTCCCACAGTTCTAAAGGTTTTCCTGTTGTGATTCCCACCGGTACTGAGCACCTAGCTGACATACAACAGGCATTTCCATTTTCACTTTTTCCTCTGTCGCACCCCGACCCAGCACTGCCTGCAGACATAATGCCCGTAGAAGAGAGGCTTTGGAGGAGATGGGCTGGGTCAGCAGACGCAGAGTTTTAGAGTAGGTGACTGAAGAGACTCCTCTGCCTGAGTGGATTCATCAGGTCAGGGAGCCTGTTACTGAGATTTTTCTCTTTGTGGCACACCATATAAAAGAAAATGCCTCAAGGATACAGGTAATTTTTTTGGTCATTTTTTCCCCTTCTGCTATGTGACCCCTTTGTCACTCTACCTGGGGTTCATTGCCATGGAGAGCCACCTTTCTAGGGTGGTCTGAAGCTTGGTCAGGAGGGACCTGAGCTCATATCCTGTCACCTCAATGAACGATGTTGCTGATACTTGCCTACAGGCACTTGGATCAGGTCTTTAATGTTTCTAATTTGCTTGGAAGATGAATAGCCCTATATCCTGGCTATTAAGTAATTTAAAATCCTTACTGAGAAATACATGATCTCAGAGTATCTGATTTCCCATGAATAATTTTTCTAAATTTCAGAACATTTCCTGGAGTATTAGTGTTTCAGAAAAGTTGCAGGATACCTGTGATGTTTGAACTTTTTTTTTTTTCCTTCCAAACTCTTTATGCTTCTTGCTTTCTTCTTTATGGCTTTAGCTTCAGTCCTGCCATTAGCCCTGTGTGAAGACCCCTCTGCCTGCTTGGCATTCATTGAAAAATTGGGGCCTTAGAGACCGCCTGAGCTCTGGTTTGTCCTGTGAGCATGTCTAAGGTGTACTCACCATAATAAATCCCAAAGACAGCTGCTGCTCCCATGAATGCTCCCAGGTGTTGTGCTAATATGTAAATTGGTAATTTGGTCCATTTTAATCTTCCGGTCACGCACATGGCTAATGAAACGGCTGGGTTTATGTGACCACCTGAAAAATAAATCACAAAATAAGCCATACGCATGACTCTGATACATGATAATAGGTGAAGGATTTGTAAAAATGTGGGCTCTCGTGTGAGTATGAGACCAGAACATGCTTTTCTAGATGTTATTTTGCAATTAAAAGCTGACTGCAATTAAACTGAAACAAGCTGGATGAAATGAGAGTGGGAGGGGGAAATCACCAAGATCCAGCTTCCCTCTTGATGTTTGCAGGCTGTGCTATTTATCAGACTGCTGCCCCGCAGTGTATAATCTATAGACAGCTTTGCCAGGAAAAGCCCAAATTTGCCATATCGGTAGTGATGGGAGGGTCCATCTTTCTGCACATATTCTTTCTGCTCAAGGGCTTTGTCTTTTTGTTTTAAGGGAGAATTGTGACAGCAGAACATTCATTCCGTTTAGCAAGCATGTATTAAGATTAAGGATTATTACTGGCTTGATCGTGTATCTTGAGGCAGATCTGGAGTACCCTGGATTTAATTCATGTTTATGTCCCCATTTTCAACCTGGGGTTACTTTAGAACTCAGTTTTCATGAACATAAAATAAAATAATGTTAGGGCTGTCCAGCTTCGTGCTGACTGTTGGTGAGCTATGGCTAGACGGGGTCTGGGGACAGCAACGCGTAGTTCTTCATCAAGCTCTTACACCCTCCAGAAAGGCCCATGATAAGGAAAATGATAAAGTAGCTGTGCTGAAACAGAGAGTTCTGTTTTGTGTGGAATTTTTTTCCTTTATATTTAGGAGTAGCTACACCTAAACTGACACATGGAAAAAATTTTAGCAACACTGAAATTGTGACAATATTATATTTATTATTATGTCACGTGCTAGTCACTTCCCTCAACATCTTTTATCAACATGGAAAAAAAGGGTTGAATGCTTTTGGAAAACTTTGTTTTTTACAACTATGTAGTTGGTACTTAAGAAATATAAGTTGCCAAATAAATAAACATAACAAACAATACTCCACAGTAAAAATAGAGCAAACCCCAAGTTTTGCAAGGACATAGGAGATCCATTGCTTACCTTCCAGGTAAAGTCTAATTTCAGCCTGTATGGTTATCAGAAAAAAAATGGCCTTTAATAAAATAACTAAAAGAGCGTGACCTTTGTCTGTCAAAGGCTAGTGATGGAGAAAGGGCCTCTATGTACAGTTTCTGTGTTTGTTTGCACTCCAGGTCAGTGAGTCATTATCTTATGAAATCCAGGCACCTTTGATATATAATGAACTGACAAACACAGATAACAAGGTGGATAAAACCTTCTTTGTATCATTTCCAAAACTCTGACCTGGTAGCACCAGTCTTGAATTAATTTTGAATTCCTCACTGTGTTTCAAATTCTTCAGCACAGAGCAAATAGATGGACGGCACTTTATTTAGCAGCCCTTCATGTGAATTTTGATAAATTGTTGTCTTGTCTTTTGTTCTTTACTCCTGCTGGAATTAATAATTTTCCTTTCTTTTAACACCTGATATTGTTCCCCACCTGTATATAATACAGGGTGATTATGATGGCCAGGACAAGTCATAGTATTAGAGATTTCTGATTAACATTACATCTGGAAAGGAAAGTTGAAGGCTCTCATGCTTACATAAGGGAGTTAAAAGATTCTTGGTTCCCGTGCCACTGGTAGTTTCCTGGGTTTAAAAAAAAAAAGTCCACTTTGGACAGCGTGCTCCCCTTTCTTCTGTAGTTGCAGTGATCACAGTCATGAGTTTAAGATATTAAGTTGGAAAAAAATGTTGGGAAATTATCTAGACATTGAGAAAAATTAGATGGAAGAAAAGCAAAAGGGAAATTTCCTACATAAGAGCTCAAATTCACCAAGTGTGCAGACTATATATTTTATGTTACTGTCAATTTAGAATTTCATAAAGAACTGATGCAAAATATTTTAGCATGAGATTTCATGCCCAAAGACCCACAGAATTTGCTAACAAATTCTGTATAGGAACTAATATTCTGAAATGTCCCCTAGTAATGATACATTGGATAATCACAGCCTACTGAAATATCTTTTCCTATTCTTTCAGAGAGAAAACGCACTGTATGCAGAATCCTTCGTCATGGGAAAACCACAGGAAGCACAATATTGCAACATCTGCAACTGCTCTGCCCTGCTGGTCTTGAACTCTAATCTTCTGTATAATGGAGATAAATATCCCTTAAAGATGCAAATGGAGGACAGGTTAGTGTCTTTACAGGGTTCTTTTTCATGATACTGCATTAGAAGAGTTTACCTGCCTATGTGTAAACCAAAACATGTAGTTTGAAGTTGGTCAGATAATGGGAACGTACTGCTGAATTAGCTTTGTGTAGTGTTAAGGAACTCTTCTGCTCTGTTTCAGTGACAGTAACAAGCCTGCCTGTTTTGCAGTACCTTCAGCACTTTCTAATGTGAACTTAGAAACCTCCTCATGCATGGTGTCTCTGTAGAAGAATTAGTAAGAGAAAAGAGAAATGACCACAGTAATTTCTGCTATAGCAACTATTTATAATGGCCTAGTTATACCTAGCAATACTCCCTGGATTGACTTCACCCTCTTTATGAAGGGCAAGACATGCCTCTAGAGAACTGGAGGACGAGGGCACCGTTTACGATGGCAGTATAAACTCACATACACCATGGAGTATTGTGTATTACAATACTGTCCTGGGTTCAGCTGAGACAGAGTTCACTTTCTTCATCATAGCTAGCAAGAGGCTGTGTTTTGGATTTGTGCTCAGAAGAAAGCTGATAAAAAGTGATGATTACGTGGCTGCCAAGGTCTTTCAGCTTCTCTGGCTGCCTGCAAACAGGAGAAGCTGGGAGGGAGCACAGCCCCAGTTACTACCCCAGGATTCGATCTTAGGTTCAGGATTGAGACCCAGAGTGGCCAATGATCTATTCCATACCATACACGTCATGCCCAGTATATAGGCGAGGACCCTCCAGAAGATTGGCCCTTTTGGTTCCAGATCATCGCTCTCCACGTGGTTGCTCCCCCAAGGCCTTCCCCCCCCTTCCTGGTCAGCTCTCGGTCTGGGACGCTCGGACTGTTATCTCCATTCCGTGAGTGCAGTTTCAGGACTCTCCCTGCTCCGGGATCGTTAGCTGGGAACAGGCTGAGCCTTGGTCATCGGGTGGGGGACAGTATCACTGTGTATCACTCATTTGTATATTTGTATAGTGTACATTTTCAATATTATTGTAGTTTAGTTATTACATTGTTCTTATCTCAACCCATGAGTCCTTTTTTCCCTTTACCCCTTTAATTCTCTCCCCTATCCTTGGGTGGGGGGGAATTGCGTGAGCAGGTGTGTGGTTTGGCCCCCAGCCTAGGGCTAACCCATCACAAATACACAACACTGTAATACTACAACCCATAATTTTCCATTTTAAAGGGAAAATTTAAATGTTAAAAGTGGTTCTGCTAATGTTTCTGACATTAATTTGGTCAAACTGAGTGGTGGAAACAGGAGACACAGCACCATCCAGTATGGCACATGTGGACTCTGATTAGTTAGCCCAGACAGACAAAGGAGAGATTCCTGACCAGTGTCTATTGAGATGTTCTAGCAGAAACAAAGGGGCGATGACAGCACACTGACAGTGTATTACAGAGTGTATCTCTAGGACTGAATCTTTTTGCTGTTTCTGCTTTCTATGATCTGCTGCTTCTGTGAATAAGCAGACAGGAGCAGACTTGCTACAGCCTGTCATAGGTCATGAAGAGAGAAATTGCACTCTGTAAGGTGAACGCTGCTTGTTATGCCAATTAGTGGGTCATGCTACCTCCTGCCTAGTTGGCAACCATTTTAGCTGGGGACTGCTGGATTCTGTATTTTCAAAGCAAGACGAAGCAGATTTTTGGTTTGCACAGGCCACTTTCCCCATTTTCCAGAAAGGCCACAGGTCTGCCAAGGTCTGCACGCTGTAGTTCAGATCAGAATTTGGTGGAAGATTTTGTTAAATGCAAAGAATAGAAGGAAATAAGAAGATGCAGACTCTGCTATTGCTAGACACATAGGTGTTTTTACTCTGAAATTGAAGCAATTTAATAAGTAGCCTTGAAACCACTATATAATGATTAAAAAAAAGTCACTTACCAGAAACCCCCCCAGACACATACACTGCTACGGTGACTGCTATTGCAAATCCAACCGATACTGTCATGGGCCCACCATGGGCTCCTCGGCTAAGGACAGCCTGTCCCACACACCCACATCCAAGTGCCTGTATTTCAAAGAGAAATGTAAAACCATGAGTGTGTCTGTCAAACGTTATTGGTTAGTTTGCAACTCCAGCTGCTGTCCAGGTACAGCTGAAAATGTTAAATATTGAAACAAGGCTAGAAGTTGAGAATAGTGGCATGTGTGTCATTGTTGCCTTTCCTGCAATGAACATTTGCTCTTTATTTTCCCCTGCTCTGTGACCAGGAGGAATGTCTGCTAATAAGGACCTCTCTCTCTCCCCAGAAAAGAGATTTCAAGTACAATGGTGGGATACAAATTAGAACTTGGAGCCTAAACAAGATCTCACAGCCTCTACAACAAATCTCTGCATCTAAAAGTGACGAGGGAATTAATTCTGTGTGGTAAGTTTTCAGTTCCAGATTGTTGCTATCAGCAATGAAAAAATTACTACAAAAGTTCTGAAAGATAGTTCAAAATGCTTTTAATGTTTAATGCTGAAACTCTGGAATGAAACAACTTTCTTGAGATGAGAGTCTGTGTTACTTTTATGCTGCCTTGATATCATATATTGCTCTATCAAAATATTCCACTGGCTCTGCAACTTGAACAATTAACTGAAGTGGGGATAGCTGAATAATTCACGGTGGAGTATTCTCAATGGATTTAAACTAGCTTCCATTTTATGTTGGTTCTTCTCTGAATGAAATTCAGCAACACATTTAAATGTATGCTTAAGACCATGTTTATCCAGTTCTAAAGCTTCTGCTTAGCTCAAGCATATGCTCAGTTCCTATTAAAGTTGGTAGGAAAGATTTTCAAAGGTTCAAAAGGCCTTTAGTTGAAGATAGACTAGCTGATCTGTTTCTGCCAGAAATCAATGTGTGTCTTTGAAAATCTCTTTTTTATATGGATCTCTAAGTGCTTTGGTGAATAAGGACCCAACATTCTACGGAAGATATCAAATAATAACTATAGTCTGAAAACTTTTGCTTCCCTGCAACTGTAAGTGATCTGAATCATACTGTTTCTGGGATGTGACTAGATTTATCTTGAGAAACCTTAATTACTTTGTTAAATTGAATATATATATTCCTCCTTTGATGGTACGTGGGAATCTGATTTTTTTTTCTTCCTATAAAATCATTCCATCTTAGCCAATGCAGTTGCTTTGGTTAATCTCCTTGCTTCGCTTTAATGTTCTGCCATTACTGTGTCTCACCAATGACTGGATTGCAGATATTCTTCCTAGCTACGCATATTTGAGTATATAAAATTTAGTTCTTTTAGAAATGCTTATTTTCAGTTGCAAGGCAGTTGCATTCAGAAGCTGCAGAGTAATGGGAAAATCTCTCCTGCCTTAGAAATAGACTGTACCAAAAAGATTTGGTGATTGGGATTTAACGAGCAAGTCCTGCTAGAACAGATGCAATTTAAACAGGCAAAAATCATACTTCTGTTTCCATTATTTCTTCAAGGGTTTTAACTAATACCAAAATGTGACAGAAAAGCTCTCAATAAAATTACGCTCTTAACCAGCTTCGCAATGCAGATGGAGTTTCTGTTATAAAAGTGTCCCGGGACTGTGCCATATACCCAGGTGCAGTTCTTGCCTTGAGGTTATAATCACGCAAGCAAACAAAACACTGTCTGGTGCCAAAGCACTACAGCTGTCAGGTTACGTAAGGGTAGGGCGGTGTTAGATAGCAGCAGTTTATTGGACTGTATAATTGAAAGTTCCGAGACATACTCCAAGCTGCGGTCAACTGCTGTGCAATGGGTGACAGCCACGTACCTGAGCCTTTCTCTCATTGCTATTCGGGTCATATGCCTAGCCGCTCGCATGGGAAGCACAAATGCACATACAGATATCAAACTGAAACAAAATACATTTTAATTGTTCGCAGCTGAAATGACATGGGTTTTCTTAAACTTCATATGAGAAATGGTTTTATATATTTAATTAATATGGAAAGAAAGGATATTCTGGAATGATAGAGTTTAAGATTAGAGCACATGTCTAGAGGAGGTTGAACTAGCATGCTCTAGGCTTCATTTTCCAGACTTCTCAAAAGGAGTATTCCAGAAATTGCACCAGGCAAGATTTAGGGAGAGATATGGCTGAGATGTGGAGGAGTTCAGCGGGCTGGTCTGGGGCCCTGGGTGCACTGGGGTGCAGTTCTGCACTCGGGCAAGCTCTTAGATCTGAAAGGATGCGCTTGTGTTCAGAAATGGCATAGACAGAGTTTTGCAGATGGAAAGAAAAGGCCATTCTTTTGAAAATGTTACCCCTTTCTGTAAGGATGATGAGGAAAGAGAACAGGAGTAGGGGAGATGGGTGTAGAAAAGGACAAGAGGCAGTAACCACGTATGTGGATATCAACCACAAATTCACACGAGGGAAGGAAAGAAGAGAGGGGGGCTGTGGCCTCCCTTCCCTGATTACCAGAACCGAGGAGAATCGTACAGAAACAGCTGTGTGCTCCTCTTGCATAATAGCTCCTGCTCTGCATGTCATAGGGAAATACGCAACTCCAGATGCTCCGTTCTTGTGCTAACCCGTCTCAGAAAACTCAGCCTACAAGCAAGAAGGCATACAAGCCATCTTGAACACAGCTGTGCCGGCTTTGTGCTTGGTGGCTGCTGGTAAATGACTGCCTGCTCCTGTACGACGAACGAACACTGCTGCAGGCACGCTCCCTGTGTGCCCACTGGGGGATGGGAAGCTGGGAACTGAACCTGCAAATCCGAACCATGTCCCAGTAATATTTTTTCCATCTGTTGTCATTTTAAGAAGGAGAGAAAACAATTTGCATACATAATGTAGCTACGTTGACATAACTGGAAACTGTCACCTAATCATGTAATTATACGAGCAGCAATTTAATACCCTGTGAAGCTTTGCTTGGCTGAGTTACGGCCAACTAGATCGTCAAGTTGTAACGAAATATTCTAAGTTTCTAGGCCAAACTCAGCCATCAGCTGCACCCACACAAACTTGTTGATTGAAGCACATGGAGTTGATGGGAGTTTAATTTACAGTAGAATATAGCCAGATCTCTTTATCTTATCTTGTCTTATGTTACCAGGTTTTCATCTTAGCAATTGTCTATAGCCCAATCTGTTTAAATTTACTGGAGTAGATTCAGTACTGCCTTTTTGTTCACAAGGTAATTAGATGACTGTCATAAATAACATGTTTGGTGGAATAGCTGTCTGCACGTTCTCTGCCAAAAAAACTTGCTTCATAGGCATCAGATCCTTGTCTTTGTCTTGGGTAACAAAGCAAATGTTAGGGAAGGAAAAGCATAATGTCCTGTTATTCCCTGGAAGCTTGCAGAACTTTCTCTCTATCCCACTTATCAGAGAGACTAAAGATCATTTTGCCTCCATCTGTGCTACTTTCAGGACATTTGCAAATGCCTGTAATAGCATTTTTCAGTGTACATAGGATTTCCTGCAAGATCTGAATACAGAATTTTAGGGAATCTATTCTCCTACATGGCCTGTAAAGCTTCAGAATCTTAAAGCAGAATGTTTATATAAAAAAGGTCCCTTATCGAACAGATCTAGTGGGGGTGTGCATTGGCATCCTAGCCATACACTCTTACTGGAACATTAACGAAGCAGCCAGGACTCCTGTTTTTTGGCAGTGTGGAGACAACAACGTGTTTGGTTATATCTTGCACATCGCCAGCTGCCAAGCTGTGGTGGGTTACATACCGACAGTGGGTACCAGGGGTGTCCCTGCAGGCAGAGTACAGCCTCCACGGCGGCAGAACTGCCGATGCTTCACACGAATATCAACATTCACTGGGCACGAGGAGTATGGAGTCAGCACTTAACAAAAAACCCTGTATTTTAATTATACACTTTACACTTTCAATTGGGAAATGCTAGAAAAATAGTTCAGAATTTCTATTTTAGCCAGTTTTCAGGTAAACAACCACAGCGAATGGTGAAGAATCTCCGAGGATTCCTCCACCAATTCACGATTTTCTTAAGGATGGCTTTGTTCAGGGAAGTCAGCAACCCTGCCCCTTTCTCACCCCACGTTCCCACCTATGTTCTCCCACTGTTTCCCAGACAGGCATTTCCTGCTGGCCCGTGACTTGCCTGCTCCCCTTCTCAGACTGGACCGACCCGCTGTCCTACTCTGGGCTCTGCCATGCGTGCGTGTGTCCGTTCCTGTGCGGTGCTGCGGAGGGGACGGGCTCTCAGCAGCAGCGCGGTGCGTTAGGCTCAAGCTGTGTGCTTGCAGCGAGTGTCTCTCTGCTTTCCTAAAGCTACCTGCTCCCAGTCTGCGGAAACAGAGCGACATTGCCGGGACACCTGAGGACGTGAGAGCAAGCCCTGGTATTTCTCTTAGGGAAACCTCCGTGACTTCTCCAGGCAGCCTGACTTAGCCCTGAAGATTTAGGCCCTTAACAGAGGGATACAGGCAGGAAGAGGCAGAGAGTCCTTTGGGGCTTGGGAGAAGTGGCTGCATTTGCCCTTCACTCCAGGTAGGGATCTCTGTGACCCGTGTTGCCCATGACAACGTTAGAGGGTTGCTTGCGGCTTACTGCAGTCTTGTGCAGGTCCCCCTGCGCCCCGTTAACATGGCCATGTACGGTTAGTTTGGGTTTGCTTATAGGAGTAGTAAATACAATGTTCAGATAAGAGGCTGATTATTAAGTTGATGGTGTCCTTCTAAAGGTCTTTAATTTGGAGTGTATTTTAGAACTCACTTTCATTTCTAAACCTTTTATTTACAAAGCAAGTCTGCTTAAGAGTTTACCTATTGCATTTCATAATTAGGTGTTTTACAGTGGATTAGAAACTCTTTCCATACAGAGCCCTGTTTTTCCTATGTTTGTGTAAGGGCCTTAACCCAGACCGGGCTCCTAAGCATTCTTTCAATAGGGACTGTAATGCTAACAACAAAATAGAGACACGTTAGATCTAGGAAATTTCAGGGCATCAGCTCTGCAAGAATTCAAGTTGCAGGAAACTCCTGTTCTTCCAGGAAAGAGCAACCTTCATTTAATTTCATGAGAGTAT